CCAATAAAGAATTTCCAAGAATCCACAATCCATGTTCTGTACCCAATTATTAAAATTCAAGTGATAGATAACTATATAATCTTAAGAGAAAAGCAGATTATAAAATATTATATTGAATCAATTATGTTAAAAAATGTATATAAAATACTCATATATACATACATCTTCTTTATGTTTTCTGCATCTTCTAAATTTCCTGCAATAAATACATAGAGGGCTATATTTTTTTTAAAAAAGGGCTATATAAATAGAACTATTTTGCAATGAGACATGTAGAGACTTGGGCCATCATCTCAAAGAAAACATGTAAAAGAAAAATCCTTATTCCTTCTTATCCAATCAAAATGCTCACATTTTAAATTCCTAAGGGAATTCCACCACCCTGGAATTGTACTACTTGGTTTCCAGGTATCTACAACTCTCTCTGAAAGCAGGCTTCTTTCAGTTAATGCATTTCCTACAAGAACGTTAGTTTTCATGTTCAATATACAAGCCATATCAACTTCAAAGGTAAATAATACATCAAACAAGAAAGTACAAGAACTTTATGTCTTAAAAATTTTAAATACTGGATACAATTCCTTGAAGTACGCTTTGCAAAGTTTTCACAGCAAAGTTTAAAATATAACATTTAATGTATTCTATATTATATAATTTATCCTTTTTCATCATAGCAGTCAACTGAAATGGTTCACTAGCCTCTTAAACTTGGGGTTTTAATCACTTCTTAATTTAAACTGTGTTTCCACTTTCTCCTTATTGATAACGGCAATAAAACCTAAAGTGTTCACACAATCCATTCAACCAGTCAACACATTTATTGAGCAACCATTACAGGCAATATCTGTTGAAGGAATAAACATAATAAGTGCTGAGTGTAGAGCAGTGAGCAATCAGACAAGGCAAAACTGCTTAAACAACGATAATAAACTCTACTATAAACTCTGCTACAAACAACTCTACTCAAAAATAGTACTTTTTGGATTTGAAGAATCAGAGGGAAAAGAAACGTGCAACGTCCTAATGCCAAGGTTTTAAAATCCTTGAAAATGGAAATTCTGGCCGCGTGCGGTGGCTCAGGCCTGTAATCCCAGCACTTTAGGAGGCCGAGGCAGGCGGATGACGAGGTCAGGAGATCAAGACCATCCTGGCTAACAAGGTGAAACCCTGTCTCTACTAAAAATACAAAAAATGAGCCGGGCGTGGGGGCAGCCGCCTGTAGTCCAGCTACTCGGGAGGCTGAGGCAGGAGAATGGCGTGAACCCGGGAGGCGGAGCTTGCAGTGAGCCAAGATCGCGCCATTGCACTCCAGCCTGGGTGACAGAGCGAGACTCCATCTCAAACAACAACAACAACAAAAAATGGAAATTCTAGTATCAATCTGGAAAATGTATTTATTCTCCACCTTTTGCCAGTGCATTTCACAGCTGCTTCTGAAGCTGTATTCTACTAAAAGGTATGCTTGATCATGATCGGATTTTACATCGGATTGGTTTTTCCAAAGGAAACAAATGGTTTACACTGGATTCTCCAAAGGAAACAAACAGAAAAGATGAGAGAAGAATTTAAAAAAGCATAAGGTTTAGGAAGAAGTATTTAATGTATCCATTCAGCAATTGTTCATTATCTTCCTGCTGTGTACAAGACGCTAGGCAGTGCTGGGAATACAGGCAACAGATTAATTTGGAGAAGAAAAATTCCTTATGACAAGTAGACTCTACTCCACCCAGCTTTCTTTTTCATATAACAAATATTTAATGGAAATGATTATTCAATTACTTCTGTATCAATGAATTTTCATTATACATAAATCATTCACTTGTTGAGCTGGCCAAAAACCTGGGGGGAGGACCCAATTTTGAGTGCAGAAAGTACACTTTTCAACTGTGACACCCATCTCACAGCCTATAAAAGGTTAGCTTCCTGGCTTGCTGGCACAACTTCCTCTCCAGTTGTGGCCATTCCCCAGGCTATGGATCTCTCCAACAACACCATGTCACTCTCAGTGCGCACCCCCGGACTGTCCCGGCGGCTCTCCTCCCAGAGTGTGATAGCAGGCAGACCCAGGGGCATGTCTGCTTCCAGTGTTGGAAGTGGCTATGGGGGAAGTGCCTTTGGCTTTGGACCCAGCTATGGGGGAGGCTTTTCTGCTGCTTCCATGTTTGGTTCTAGTTCTGGCTTTGGGGGTGGCTCTGGAAGTTCCATGGCAGGAGGACTGGGTGCTGGTTATGGGAGAGCCCTGGGTGGAAGTGGCTTTGGAGGACTGGGGATGGGATTGGGGGGCAGCCCAGGAGGTGGCTCTCTAGGTATTCTCTCAGGCAATGATGGAGGCCTTCTTTCTGGCTCAGAAAAGGAAACTATGCAAAATCTTAATGATAGATTAGCTTCCTACCTGGATAAGGTGCGAGCTCTAGAAGAGGCTAATACTGAGCTAGAAAACAAAATTCGAGAATGGTATGAAACACGAGGAACTGGGACTGGAGATGCTTCACAGAATGATTACAGCAAATATTATCCACTGATTGAAGACCTCAGGAATAAGGTAAGATGATTTCTTTTGGAGGGGCTTTGGGAATTTTTTTCCTTTTTACCATTGCAATGTTTTACAGTGATAATCACCTACAACTTTGATATTTTCCAATTTGGCTGTACTTGCAGCAATTTTCTCATCCCAGGTTGTTTCATTCCATTTCATCATTTACCAAGAAATGATTTTATTTCCATTATCTTTCTGTAGGAAATCTGTATTTCTTTACTTCTCAATATTATTTTATACAGATATTGTCTTAGAAAAATGAAACTGTCTTAAACTCTAAAAACCAGCATTTAACATCACCATTTTTACCTTTGTGTCAAAAATATATTTGTATAATACTAGTTTTTTAGGGCTTCATCTCATGTGTGTACCTCTTTTTTGCCAGATCATTGCAGCCAACATTGGAAATGCCCAGCTCCTCTTGCAGATCGACAACGCGAGACTGGCTGCCGAGGACTTCAGGATGAAGTGAGTGGAAGAAACTGAGGATCACGGCCATGTCCCACCATGTCTTCTGCCCTACTGTCCTGCCTTCATTGATATAAAATCTTCTGAAGTTCACATGCTCCATATATTTAGTGTTTTGGTAAATTCACATAGGGTGTTCTAGAAAGTAATTAGAATCTAATGCAATTCACATTAAATGTCCTTAAATTATAAGTTGCCTAAACCCAGGGCTATGGATCACTATATTTGTAGTGTGCTACTGACTCATGATGTGACTGACACCGTAATCCTACCAGGGTCCTAAACCTCAATTTTCTTTTTTCCTTTTTTTTTTTTTTTGAGACGGAGTCTCACTCTGTCACCTAGGCTGGAGTGCAGTGGTGCGATCTCGGCTCACTGCAACCTCTGCCTCCCGGGTTCAAATGATTCTCCTGCCTCAGCCTCCCAAGTAGCTGGGATTACAGGCACCTGCCACCGAGCCCAGCTAATTTTTGTATTTTTAGTAGAGATGGGGTTTCACTATCTTGGCCAGGCTGGTTTCGAACTCGTGACCTTATGATCCACCCACCTCTAAACCTCAATTTTCAATGTATCAACCATTGTTTCCTGATGACACATACAATGGAAAGATTAACCATGTACTAATTTTTATATTCCTTCCTCCTTTTCCATGCTCAACTCTCCCAGATATAAGGAAGAAATACTAATTTCCTTTTTGCTTCACAAAATTTCCACACAGGAAGTTGCAATGGCCATGGTCCTGAACCTGTAAAATTTTGGTAACAGCCACTAAAGAAGTATCAGTGTTTTAAGTTAAATCATGAAGAACATTAAGCAAAAAGAGTAACTTATTTTCAACTGCTTTTAGAAATTCCACTTAGAGAGGGCTGCTGCTATTTATAGCCACGGCAGCCAGCAAAGGGAAAATTATTCCCTGGGATGCTGTGGTATTGGGATTCATAGCTGGTAGGAAAGTACTGCCTCATTATTTTTTCACTTGTCTTCTCTCCAACCGAACGGTAAACAATGGTGGAAAAAAAGGAAAGGGAAAAAAAAAAAGCAAAATCTGCATCATACATTGCAATGCTGCCATTATGAAGTAGGTGCACAGATGTAAGCAATAACGAGCCCTGAAGATCAGTGGCCTTGTTCAAATGGTTATGTTGATTCCCTCAACTGCTTTGCACTTGGTTTTCAGGTATGAGAATGAACTGGCCCTACGCCAGGGCGTCGAGGCTGACATCAATGGCCTGCGCCGGGTGCTGGACGAGCTGACCCTGACCAGGACCGACCTGGAGATGCAGATCGAGAGCCTGAATGAGGAGCTGGCCTACATGAAGAAGAACCACGAGGAGGTGAGTCAGACAGGGCAGCCTCACTCAGCTACTTTTCTTTTTCTCCCAGACCCAAAAATAACAATTTCAAATTTAGAAATCTGGAGTTGGAACAAGTATGGAGAATACATTGTCTCCCTATTAAAATGGCCATTTGTTTTGGATTTCTGTGTGATGTGTGTGTGGTGTATGTGATGTGCATGTGGTGTGCGTGATGTGTGTGTGATGGTGGTGGTGATGGTGGATCCTGTTAAGGCTTAACAAATTAGAGGTACTTTCTGATTTTGTCATTTCCATTATAAAGCAATGACAATAGGAATGCTAACTGTCCTAATTCAGTGATTTAAAAAAAAAAAAAAAAAACTGAGTATTTTAAAAGTTAAGGAACAAAAGTCTACCAATAATATATAATGTTATATGTGTTAGAGAAACTGGTTATACTTAGCATAACACACAGAAAACTCTGACATGTCACAGTGCATATTGGAGGCTAGGCAAGGAAGGGACGCTGGCAATAGGAAGTTTCTACTAGATTTTCAATGATTGTGGCACAAACAGTGTGCAAGCCCAGGTACTGCCTGTAGCCCTCTGTTTGGCAGCTGTAGGTGAAAACCCCAGTGAGTGTACACCAGGCCTCCTTTCATGTAAAGGCCATGGCCCCTCAAGAAGCAGAGCCAACTTACCCATTAGGAACAGCAGGCAATGCTCCCAGCGTCTGAGGTAATTTCAGGGACCCATTAATATGTCTTAAGTTCCTGTAAAATCAGAAGAAAAATAAGAATTTTTAGGTTAAAAAAGTTTTAAAATATTACATTAATATTTATCTTTATACCAACAGTCATAGAATAGAATTTTTAAGTGCGTGCGTGCGTGCGTGCGTGTGTGTGTGTAGGAAGGGGCCCAGGAGGATAAAAGTATCCAGGGCCCACGAAAGTCACAATGGACCCCTGTGCCCCTCTCTCTCATGTGCTGTCCCCAGGAGCTCCAAAGCTTCCGGGTGGGCGGCCCAGGCGAGGTCAGCGTAGAAATGGACGCTGCCCCCGGAGTGGACCTCACCAGGCTCCTCAACGATATGCGGGCGCAGTATGAAACCATCGCTGAGCAGAATCGGAAGGACGCTGAAGCCTGGTTCATTGAAAAGGTAACACAAACAACAAAGGCTTTGATGCATTCGCAGAAAGGCCTGCGAGCGAGCTCAGCGCTCGAGTCCCCTGGCTGTCTTTGCTGTTGCAGAGCGGGGAGCTCCGGAAGGAGATTAGCACCAACACCGAGCAGCTTCAGTCCAGCAAGAGCGAGGTCACCGACCTGCGTCGCGCCGTTCAGAACCTGGAGATCGAGCTGCAGTCCCAGCTCGCCATGGTAGGCTCGTGCGCAAACAGACGCAGCATCCTTTGGACTTTCAAAGAAAATGCTGCATCCAAATTACATTAGCCGTTGACTGCCCTCCTCTTTTCGGTCCCCTCCATCGTTATTTCTATACCATTTCCCTCCCGCGTGCAGAAGAAATCCCTGGAAGACTCGTTGGCCGAAGCCGAGGGCGATTACTGCACGCAGCTGTCCCAGGTGCAGCAGCTCATCAGCAACCTGGAGGCACAGCTGCTCCAGGTGCGCGCGGACGCGGAGCGCCAGAACGTGGACCACCAGCGGCTGCTGAATGTCAAGGCCCGCCTGGAGCTGGAGATTGAGACCTACCGCCGCCTGCTGGACGGGGAGGCCCAAGGGTGAGCAGACAACGAAGGCTGCAAACACCTTTAGGGGCTGACCAAGAGTGGACAGCAGAAATAGAAGGAATGGGGTTTTAGTTGACAGAAAAGCAAACAAAGTCTAGTAAAGATATGCCTGGGATTTACTAAATGCTCTACACTTTGCAAAGTGTTTTCACCCATTATCTTACTTGGTAATTCATAAAATGCTGCAATGAACAAAGGCACTACTGTCAGAAACAGTCTGTAAATCAGTATTCCCTGTACTACAAAAGTCACTCACTCAATTTCTGATATCAAAGACCTGATGATAAGAAGGACACCTAGTAGCCACCTGAACCACCTACTCTAACAAGCTTTTCAAAAGTGATCAGAGGCTGCACTAGTTGGAAGAACTCAGGCCTACAAATTGGGAAATCGAATTTCTGAGACCAGCTCTTCCATTAAAAGCCAGGTTGCTTCACTTTTTGAGGTCATCTCCTTTGTTTTCTTACAGTGATGGTTTGGAGGAAAGTTTATTTGTGACAGACTCCAAATCACAAGCACAGTCAACTGATTCCTCTAAAGGTATGCAGAAACCCTAGAACCACTTAGAATAAGTCAGAATCACATTTATTAATGCAAAACCTGTAAGATTTCATTGAATATTGCATTATTATTAATTTTAATTTAAAGCATATTTATATTCTGAGCCAAGGAAAAACATTTATGCATTCCTGCACAAAATGAGTAGTCTGTACTATATTAAAACTTTTGGGGGCACGGTGGCTCATGCCTGTAATCTCATAGCTTTGGGAAACTAAGGTGGGAGGATCACTTGAGGCCAGGAGTTCGTGACCCACCTGGGCAACAGTGAGACCCCATCTCTACAAAAAACTTAAGAAAAAAATAGCTGGGCATGGTGGTGTATGCCTGTGATCTCGGCTACTCTGGAGGCTGAGGCAGGAGGACCCCTTGAGCTCAGGAGTTAGAGGTTATAGTGAGCTATGATCATGCCACTGCATTCCAACCCGAGCAACAGAGCCAGACCCTGTCTCTAAGAAAATTAAAATAAAAATTAAAAAATTGGCAATCCCAGGAGGGAAAAAACCTACTCTGCTACAAGGTATTATGATCACCATAACCAACTTTGAAATGTTTTCTTAAAAAAATGTTTTCATATGTGTACAAGGCAACACTGAATACATTTCATTTTCATTGGATGAAACACATTTTTAAGAAGTAAAATTTACTTTTGAAAGTTTAATTATACAGATTGTATCAACCACTGCTTAATTTAGAAACCTGCATTAAACAACCAATGCTGGATTAATATTTGAAACACTAACTTTTGCCCCCTTATTCCATTTTTATCTTTAGACCCGACCAAAACCCGAAAAATCAAGACAGTTGTGCAGGAGATGGTGAATGGTGAGGTGGTCTCATCTCAAGTTCAGGAAATTGAAGAACTAATGTAAAATTTCACAAGATCTACCCCATGATTGGTTCCTTAGGAACAAGAAATTTACAAACAGAAATCATTCCTTTCAGAGTAACATGGTGTATTAGTTCAATCTCTATTTTTGTCTGTTCCATTTTCTTTGGATTCCCTATTCACACTGAATCCTTTTTGCCCTTCTGAAACAATATGCAGTCACAAGTCATGTTGGTCACATTGGTCTTTATAACAAATCAAAAATTACCTTATATCTTTCTGGACCTGGAGTAGTCTTTTAATGAACTTTCTTCTGGTAATCTGGAATATTTTTTAATCATAGAGCTTTAATCAAGTAGTATTGTTTTAATAGAATTAATTGTAATAAAAGATGAATGGTAATAATGTGAAACGTATGCCTTCTTGATTCCAACAATAATGTTAAGAGCATAGAGAGAAGTTTTTGAAATACTAATAATAAAATAGAGGCTGGGAGTAATGACTCACACCTATAATCCCAGCATTTTGGGAGACTGAGAGGCAGGATGATTGCTTGAGGCCAGGAGATCAAGACCAGCCTGGACAACATAGAGAGACCCCTATCTCTACAAAACATTAATAATAATCATCATCATAATGTAGATAAAAACTGGGATGGGCCGGGCGCGGTGGCTCAAGCCTGTAATCCCAGCACTTTGGGAGGCCGAGACGGGCGGATCACGAGGTCAGGAGATCGAGACCATCCTGGCTTGGGCTTAATACACGGTGAAACCCCATCTCTACTAAAAAAAATACAAAAAACTAGCCGGGCATGGCGGGCGCCTGTAGTCCCAGCTACTCGGAGCTGAGGCAGGAGAATGGCGTGAACCGGAGGCGGAGCGCAGTGAGCTGAGATCGGCCACAGCACTCCAGCCT